AGCAGGGAGCCTGATGTGGGGCTCGATCCCAGGACTCCGGGATCACGACCTGAGCCGAAGGCAGACGCTTAACGACTGAGCCACCCAGGCGCCCCTTTCTAAGACTTTATTTTTGACAGAGCACAAGCAGGGGGAGTGGCAGGCAGAGGGAGAAGCAGGCTCCCCGCAGAGACGGGGAGTCCGATGTGGAATTCTGCCCCAGGACCCCGGGATTATGACCTAAGCCGAAGGCAGTCGCTTAAACAACTGAGCCACCCCTGCGCTCGCTATTTTCTTTTAATCTCTCTACGGTTTGTATTACTTTCTGGACTTTTGACCTTTACTGCCAAGTTTTATATTAAATTTTAACTTTTGGTTGTGAATATTTTAGTTTTTAAGAGTTTTTTTTAAGGGTTTGCTGCAATTGACATAAACATTATATTAGTTTCTGTACATGATTCCATGTTTGCATGATTGCAAAATGATAACCACAATGTCTACTTTACATGTCACCATACATAGTTAACAGAATTTTTTTCTTGTGATGAGCCCAGATCACACATTCCGCTCAGGTCCTGTCTGGGATCAAGCCCCACATCAGGCTCCCTGCTCTGTGGGGAGTGTGCTTGAAAGTAGACTCAGTGCGCCCCCTGGGGGGGGCAGGCGGAGATCTTTTTATACCCCCCTGGCGCTTCTCTTTTGTTTTGTTTTTTTTCCAGAGAAAACTCTAATGCTCTGCCTGGGGGAATACATGCTTAGTCATTTAAGGCCTGTTATCAGTATTTTCCAGTACTGTGATTCATAAATCATTCACTGACACACGAGGAATCTCACCCTTTAGTTCTGGGTCTGCTTGTAGTGGGTAATCTACCCACTATTTACTTCATCTGTGTTTGAACAAGATATCCCTGAAACCACAGATTTAATGTATAGTTTTAATGTGTGGTTTGTTTGTTTTTAGTGAATATTGAGTTCATAGTACACATAGTTTACATAGTTTACACTAGTTCATAGTTTTTTTCATTACTAACTAAAGTTAATAGTTTACACTAGGATTCACTCTTTGTGCTATATATTTCTATGGATTTGGACAAATGTATGTTATTTCCACCATTAAGTATCATACACAATAATTTCACTGCCCTAAAAATCCTTTATGCTCCTCCTGTTTATCTCTCTATGTGAACCCTGGCAGCCACTGATTTTTTTTTACTGTCTCCATATTTGTCTTTTCCAGAATATCATATAGTTGAAACCAAATGATGTAGCCTTTCCAGAGTGGCTTCTCTTAGCAATATGCATTTAAAATTCTTTTGTATCATTTGTTGGCTTCATAGCTCATTCATTTTTATTGCTGAATAATATTTATTGTCTGGATATACCACAGTTTGTTTATCCACTCATCTATTGAAGGACATCTTGGTTGTTTCCAAGTTTTGGCAATTATGAATAAAGCTGCTGTAAATATCATGGGCAGGTTTTTGGTTTTTTTTAAGATGTTATTTATTTGTCAGAGAGAGAGAGAGCACAAGCAGGGGGAGAAGCAGGCTGCCCACTGAGCAAGGAGCCTAATAAGGGACTTGGTCCCAGGACGCTGGGATCGTGACCTTAGCCAAAGGCAGATGCTTAACTGACTGAGTCATGCAGGCATCCCTCATATGCAGGTTTTTGTGTGACATTAGTTTTCAACTCATTTTGAGTAAATACCAAGGAGTGCAATTGCTGGATTTTATGATAAGAGTATTTTTAGTTTTGTAAGAAACTGCCAAACTGTATTCCGAAGTGGCTGTAGTATTTTGCATTCCCACCAGCAATGAATGAGACTTCCTGTTGATCCACATCTTTACCAGACTTGATGTTTTGGATTTTTGTTAGTGGGGCGTACACACACAATACACCTAAGAAGCAAACGATGAGGTTACATCTGTAGTTATTTGGAACAGCAAGTTTTCATTCCCCAACAGTAGTTTCCCCATAACATGGAAGTACGAACCTGTTAAACAGTGGTGAAGCAAAGCCCCAAGGAAAGGTTCTGATCTTAACCGGGCTGCTCTCAACAGTGATTTTCTCAAGCTACAAGCAAAGGCGCAGAATACAGTTTGCCCAGTGCTTAGTTTGGGTTCAGAACCCATTTTTCTTTGACAGGGTTAAGGAATTTGCCCAAGATGCCACAATCGGTAAGTGAGGACTGAACTGGTTCCAAAGAACACAAACCTGACACTAACTTCCCTGTTTCTCTGGGATCCAGAGCTCTTAAAGAGATGACACCTAATGTAGCTTCCCGGAAATCAGTCATTATTTGAAGGGGCTGGCTTGCAAAGTTTGCTGATTTTTTGAGGAGGCCACATGAGAAACCATCTCCCCAGTAAGCAAAGTGTGTGTGAGTTTCCTTTCCTCAATAGAGGCCTGATCAGGAATTATCTTTTATTTTTAAAGTGCCTTTAAAAAGAATTTTTTTTTTTTTTAAAGTTTTCTGACCTGATAGAAATGCTAAGAACTGGTTAGTGTACTGAGGCCTTTTAGAGCCTGGCATACAATTTGGGTGTTTGGGGATATTCCTCTGTTCTTTTTTTTTTTTTAATAGATTTTATTTATTTATTTATTTGACAGAGAGAGACACAGCTAGAGCAGGAACACAAGCAGGGGGAGTGGGAGAGGGAGAAGCAGGCTTCCCGCTGAGCAGGGAGCCTGACGTGGGGCTCGATCCCAGGACCCTGGGATCATGACCTGAGCCGAAGACAGACGCTTAACAACTGAGCCACCCAGGCGCCCCTCCCTTTGTAACTTCTGCACCCCCCCTTACCCCCCAGTACTTCTACTGCCTACTTCTTTCCTTATGGGTTTACTTTAGTCAGGTCAGTTTTACCTGGTTCTAGTCTTTGGCAAAACACAAAGAGCCTCTTCTTTGGGTTACATGGAAGGAGATAAGGACTTACAAGATACAGAAAGGTGGAATGTCAGTGCTCAAGGAAGCAGGAGACAGACAGCCTTGTGGCCTGGGTGAGCCACTTAATATTCTAAGTTTCCATTTCTTCAAACTCTTAGGGTTGGTTCCAAGATTAAATGGGATGATATATGCAAAGGGTTTAGTACAAGGCCTGGAACATATTCTGTGTCTTTCCCCAATGTCAGCTGTATTCAATCATAAAGCAGAAGTTAAATCACAATTATAAAGCAGGTTCAGGATTCCAAACTTAATGACAATTCACCATGGGATTAAGCTTGGCTTCTTACACAGCACACAGAGCAGGACAGAATTAAAGCCACACACAACACACAAGATAACGGAAGGGTGCAGGAAGTTAACCAACCAAACGCAAAGTCAGTCCGTGGCTGAACAGTTGAGATAAGGCTTGAGATATGTCTCGTCCGGGTCAGCTCTTGACACTTACTGCTTCTGATGTTCAGGCAGTGAAGGATCTCCGTTCTGTTCAGGAATCAGTCCGTCAGAGCCTTCAGGGGCAGTTGCCTTTTTAAAATGGTCAGACATAGAGGGATCAGGTCTGAAAAGTCTGACAGTTTCCTGCCAAAATCCTTCCCTTTTTAAAGGGATTTAATCAGTTTTGGGTCTCTGCAGACCTCCTCTGGTTCTACTCGTTATCAGTTCTGGGGTGTCAGCTGAGGTTGGTCTGGGTGGTATCTTCTAGCTGCAGTACCTTAACTGCTTGCGGTCATTGCTTGTCACAGGCTCCTGCTTGACATGAGAGACTCCATTTTGCTCTCTACACCTGGATACATTGTTTTGAAAAGCAACCTAAAATCTTTTAAAAAAAGAAAGAAACAAGGAGTGCCTGGGTGGCTCAGTTGGTTAAGTGTCTGCTTTCCGTTTAGGTGGTGGTCCTGGGGTCCTGGGATCCAGTGCGGCATCGGGCTCCCTGCTCTGCAGGAAGCCTCCTTCTCCCTCTCCCACTCCCTCTGCTTGTGTTCTCTCTCTCGCTCTCTCTCTGTGTCAAATAAATAAAATCTTGAAAAAAAAAAAAAGAAAACCTACCCAGAGGTGAGTCCAATCAATATGTGCCCCTCAAATCCACACACAAGTGAGTAACCAGCAGCCGGTCTGAAAGTAAAAATGTCAAATTAATTTACATACTAACTTTTCAAATTCAGGGTCTTAGAGGTTCCAAAAAAAAAAAAAAAAATTCCCACCCGAAGACGGGGTGTGTAATACATGAGATGCCGGTACTGATTGGCGCCCCCCAGCGCACCCTTACCTTAAACTAGTCCGGAAGTTTTAGCGTCAGAAAGACAAGAGCTTCTGATTGGCTGTCGGTCCGTGATAGGCTAATTAAGAACCAGAAGACTTAGTTTTCTTAAAGGAAAAGGACTCTTAAGAGTCTGCAGAGTGTTTTAAAAGATGGTGTATAAAACAATACTTTGTTTATGTGATATTTCTGAAAATGAGAGAAGTGCGAAAAATGTCGTCATCAGCGCAAAGTGTGCGGCTGCCATAGACCAAGCCGAGGCCGCGAGGTCAAAGTTAAAGCTATACTTTCAGGGATCATTTCTATAGTTTATTACTAGAGAAGTTTCTCTGAACGTGTAGAGTACCCGTAAACCACGAGGAGGAGGCACAGTATCTTTTTCCTGAGCGTGAAATTGGCTTTGGGTGTTACTCATGTTTCAGCCCTTTGTCTTTGATGATCGTTCTTCTTCTCTTTTGGAGAAGTTAGAGGGAAGGGATGCAGTCTGAGTGGTTTTGGTGGGGTTTTTTTTTTGGTTTCTAAAAATAGAGCTGCTATGGGGTTGGGTTTTTTTTTTTTTTTTTTGGTAGAGAAAAATAATGAGGGCACTAGTGCAAGTAATGGGGCAAAAAAGAGAAAAGCAGAGGAGTAGGGTTCATTCAGGTTAGGAAATGCTTAGTGGTTATGTTATCTGGGTACAGTGTTTTATGGGTATAAAGTTATTTTTTTTTCTGTGTATAGTTTATTGGAGGGAAACATACTGCTGTGTTTAGTGCTAGAGAATGAGAGGATGGTTTAGTCATAGCACTTTGATGAAGAGCTGGAGATACAGTTTTTTCTATTATTCTAAGGGTGGTGGGCTGCTATTGAAAGGAGAATGGTTTTGATCTGCTCTATGGATTAAAGTTACTAACGGCTGTGTGGAAGTTAGGTTGGGGTAGGGATTAAGTCAAATGAGAAGTGTGAAGCCTGGTTGGGCACCTACTACATTCATGTAGGTAGTAGGGAAGGTGGTGGTGGTGACGGAGAGAGAAAGAGAAACTGACTAGATCTGAAAAATATTTAATATTGGTAGGACTTGGGGGATTGATTCAGTATAGGTATGAGTGAGGAATAATGGTCAGGTTTTATGGCTTGAGCAAATGATTCCCTATGTTAAAATGGGGAGAAGGAGAAGTAACTGAATTAGGTAGGGTAATGAGGTGGGAAGTGATGGTAGAGCTCAGTGTAGGACACATTTAGGAGAAATTTCTGACTTTTAACAGACAGAACTCCCAAAGCTGACTGAGAAGGGGTGGCCAAACAGGTAGGATGAAAACCAGATGAATGTGCTTGATCAAAGTCAAGGAAGGAAAGTAGAACAGAAAAATGTGTAGAAAACATATGAGATCAAGATACAGATAGAAAGCCATGGCATTTAGTGGTGACTTTATTGGTCTTGCGGCAGAGATAGATAGAAGCTGGTTTGGGATGGGCTGATCAATGAAGCCTGATGAATGGGCTCCCAGAAGATCAAGCTGTGATGGAGAGTATAGAGGTAGATATGCATTGCGGGCGGGTGGGGGATGTGGGATGTAGACAGGGAGATGGGAGAATTTTTTTTTTTTTAAGATTTTATTTATTTATTTGACAGAGAGACACAGCGAGAGAGGGAACACAAGCAGGGGAAGTGGGAGAGGGAGAAGCAGGCTTCCTGCAGAGCAGGGATCATGACCTGATCTGAAGGCAGATGCTTAACGACTGAGCCACCCAGGCGCCCAGGGAGATGGGAGAATTAAAGATGGGAGAACAAGTCTGAGTGCAGATGGAAGGACTGGGTACAGCAGGAGAAACAGATTTAGGAGAGAGCAGCTCCCAGGGGCAGGCCTTTGAGTTGGCCAGAGTTCATGGGGAGTGCAGATTTAGGCAGTTCGTCCATGTAATGAGACCATAGTGAGGGTTTTTCAAATGATAGCTTCTAGTTCTGTGCCAAGTGTGAGGCAAAAACATTGCTGAGGGAGACTGGTGAGGAAGGGTAGGAGAGATGAGAATAAAGAAGGAATGAGGGGTACTGGGCTGGCTGAGTCAGTAGAGCATGCAACCCTTGATCTCAGGGCTGTGAGTTCGAGCCCACTTTGGGTGTAGAGATTACTTAAGAATAAAATCTAAAAGGGGCGCCTGGGTGGCTCAGTTGTTTAAGCATCTGCCTTCAGCTCAGGTCATGATCCCAGGGTCCTGGGACTGAGCCCTACATCAGGCTC